TACAATCAAGGCGGATTTAGGCGTCCAGGGAGGGGTGGTGGGGGGGGGGGCACTATAAACTCTCCCATCGACTCCTGACGTCAGATATATACACGGGTTTGATCCCTCTTCTTCCTCTTCTTCCTCCTTTCTCTTCCTCTTCTTTTCCTCTTCCTCCTCCTCATCAAAACTCCTACTACTCCTCCTCTTCCTACTCCAATTTGCCTGTTCTTCTTCCTCCTCTTCATCTACATCCTTCCCTCTTATCCCTACCTCCAACTCTTTCCCCTTTCGTGTGTGTGTGTGTGTGTGTGTGTGTGTGTGTGTGTGTGTGTGTGTGTGTGTGTGTGTGTGTGTGTGTGTGTGTGTGTGTGTGTGTGTGTGTGTGTGTGTGTATGTGTTTTGGGAACGAAAGTCTGGTACAGTATATTTAGGAGAAATGGCTACTCTTTAAAGAACCCGACGCCTTCCCTATATCAAGATTCTCAAAACAGAAACAAAAAATTACGAAAAACAAAACAAAACAATGAATGAATCTTTAAAAATATAATATAAAAAAAATCATATATTATTTCCGTAAAAAAAAATATTAATAAATAATATCCATAATTTTTTATTTTTTTTACATAAGCTACGGCATTGTTAAGGATATAGAAGGTAGTTAGTGGTTTGTAATATATATACTGTATAAGGAGATATACATTGAGAATAAGATGTTAGGTGGATGAGGGAGATTGGGTGAGGATGGGTGAGGGAGATTGGGTGTTAGGTGGATGAGAGAGAGAGATAGAGAGAGAGAGAGAGAGAGTCTGCATCACTTATCGACATAAAATCCTCGACTTGTGGCTGTGATCATTAACTACTACACACACCTGTTTATATATTGACCTCCAGGTTAAGACTCCCAGGTAAGGAAATAAAGATATCAAGTACTATTATCTTTACTACTACTACTACTACTACTACTACTACTACTACTGACAATAATAATAACACACTAAGCTGTCATGTCCGAGTCCCTTGTAATGAAAGACTCCGAAAATTATTTAAAATATGAAGACAGTTAAAAGTGTCCAACCCAACCTCCAACACCAGACCACCACCTAGCCCCCACAACCCAGTCTCCCAGTCCCCAGCACCTAGCCCCCAGCACCCAGCATCCAGCCCCCCAGCCCCAGCCGCTAACAAACCCCGTGGAGGAGTTTCAACAGACTACGGGTAAAATAGTTTAATTAACAGAGGCAGCGTCCAGAAGCTACTGTACTGTAACTCTCTCTCTCCCACTCTCGTCTCTCAGCTGATGTTTGTTGACAATTGAGTGAAGTTTTCTATCGCTCATGAGTGTTTGTTCGCTGGCGTTTGTTTACGTGTTGAGATCGTGTGATTTTTTTTTTTTGGTGGTTATGTGATTATTTCTTTTCTGTGTTTATTCCTTTTTATCTATTTTTTCTTCTTTTCTTGTGGTGTTTTTTTTTTTCGTTTTTATGACTCTCTCTCTCTCTCTCTCTCTCTCTCTCTCTCAGGTAGATGGATATATTTCAGTTTCAGTTTTTCACAATTTTACACTGTCTTTTTTTGAAGGAATTTGTCCATTACATATCTCTATTGTGCTGTCTGCTCCATGTTGGTCCGAAAATTGTTTAAGAGTTACGTTTTGTGTATGTCTGTGTGTGTGTGTGTGTGTGTGTATGTGTGTGTGTGTGTATGTGTGTGTATGTGTGTGTGTACAACTTGACTCTTAACTAATAACACTTTTTCTCGTATATTATCTCTCTCTCGTAACACACAGGTGAGGCAACAGGTGAAAGACAGACACATAGGGAATAAACATATCCAACATATATTTTAGTTTTATTCATAGCTACAGAGAACGTTAGACCCACCCGTTCTCCCGTGCTTCTAAAGGCTTGTGTACAGGACAGCGTGTGTTTCCATTACGCCACTAGTGCGTAACGGGTGCGTGAGTGGTGTAATTGCCACGCAACACTGTCCGCTCTGCCCTTTGCAATCACGGTACACTGGTTCATCTCTCCCCCCACCCCTTCCATGGTACGCGTCATTCAATGGTTGACACGGAAATTCTCGTGCACTGTATCAGACCCCTCCCCCCCTCCCTCCTCCTACTCCTGCAGCAGACCCTCCGCCTCTCCCAGCAGACCCCTTCCTCCTCCTTCAGCAGACACAGGACACATGTTTTACGATCTGCTCAGCGCTCTTGATGATAACAAGATTTCTATTGTAGGGATCATATGAAGATTAGCCCCCCCCCAGTGTATTTCATCTTAATATTAACCTAACCTAACCTAACCTAACCTAACCTAACCTAACCTAGCCTAACCTAACCTAACCTAACCTAACCTAGTCTAACCTAACCTATGTTTGTAAATATACCGTATGTATCAACAACACTTTTATCGCCTCTCCTCCCCCGTCACTGCCCCCGTCACTCCTCCCCTCGTCACTGCCCAGTCACCCCTGTCACTACCCCGTCACTGCCCAGTCACCCCCTGTCACTGCCCCATCACTCCCCCGTCACTCCTCCGTTCACTCCTCCGGTCACTGCCCCCGTCACTGCCCCCGTCACTCCCCTCTCTCCTCTGGTCAACCCCCCCCCCGGTCACTCCTCCCTTCTCCCGGTCACTCCTCCTTCCGGTCACTCCTCCTCCCCCCGGTCACTCCTTCCTCCCGGTCCTCCTCCCTCCTTCCGGTCACTCCTTCCTCCCCGGTCACTCCTTCCCTCCCCCTCAGTCCTCCTTCCTTCCTCCTCCCGGTCACTCTTCCTCCTTCCGGTCACTCCTTCCTCCTCCCGGTCCTCATCCCTCCTTCCGGTCACTCCTCCCGGTCCTCCTCCCTCCCCCGGTCACTCCTTCCTCCTCCCGGTCACTCCTCCCTCCTCCCGGTCACTCCTCTCCCCCTCGCCATTCCCCGGCCTCGACTCTGAGCCAGCCAGACCAAGGATGGTTGGTGGCCGGAGGTCGGCAGTCACCCACATCTGCAGCAGTGTGGAGACAGGTTGATCAATGGTGATGGAGACCTTGATGGAGACCCTGATGGAGACCCTGATGGAGACCCTGATAGAGGTGCAGGAGGAGGTAGATGGAGAAGCCAGGTCGAGACATTGACTTGGCTGTGAAATATGAGGTCAACTGAGGGTATACAGCCAGCCATCACTCTGCCTCTCTAACCTCCCTCCTTCCCTCCTTCCCTCCTGGCCTCCTTCCCTCCTGGCCTCCTACCCTCCTGCCTGCCAGTTTCCTTCCCTCCCTCCTTCCCCCTCCCTCCCTTCTCACCACAACCAATAAGTACATTCAGCCATTTCTCGCCCAAACAAAACAACGTTATTACAGACTTAAGAATCAATTAATTCTCTTTTTCCATCATCATCTCTTTACTTCCACCGGGAAACACAATTTCTGTTATGATGGACGTAACATTTAGTTCACTTTTGACCCATTGTGTATTTATCGAGTTAAAAATCCTTGACGAGATTACCAACCGTATGTATGTATGTATGTATGTATGTATGTATGTATGTATGTATGTATGTATGTATGTATGTATGTATGTATGTATGTGTGTATGTATGTATGTATGTATGTATGTATGCATGTATGTATGTATGTACAGTATGTATGTATGATCTTACCATATTTGTATACTGTATGCATGGTACTTAAGGGGTTAAGCTCTCGTACTCAAAGGGTTAAATCACCGTACTCAAGGGGGTTAAGTCACCGTACTCAAGGGGTTAAATCACCGTACTCAAAGGGTTAAATCACCGTACTCAAGGGGTTAAATAACCGTACTCAAAGGGTTAACACAAATATGATAACGTATTCAAATTTTAACAAATTTTAAATCAAGGTTTTAATGCAGGTAATAAAGTCTTATTTATGATGCTCTTTGATTACAATACTTGACATAAAGAAAACTACATTACTTTTTCAAATTACTACTTTTTTGTGTATTTTTGATCCTTTGAAATTTAAGTCTCATAACTATTGAATAATTTTAATTTTTTTATATGAAAATTTTGGGGTCACCAGGGGGGGGGGGGTATAAATTCTGCATGTTTTTTGTTTATTTATGAATGAGGTAAAAAAAATTATCCTTCATAAAATTGATCTTAGGTTGATTTAATGACGTGTATACTAATTCACTTCCTATAAGCCTAGTTGTTCGCTGTGAAGGTTTTTTGAATCGTAATTATGACTTTTAGTAAGAATTTGGTTGGTGATTTTTTTTTTAGTTATTATTATTTTTATGTTTTTTTGTGTTGTATTGAGTTGGCTGCACCTATTGCCTAGATGATTTACTGACACACACACACACACACACACACACACACATACACACACACACCATTCTTATATTCGTATCGTTACAATCTGCCTCAGAAAATTACCTCGTCTAATATTAACCCAAATTCCTTCACTATGGTCAAGAGCCTCGTCAAACTTTTTACTTTTTTTTGCTTTTGTTTTTTACACCAAGAATTTTTTGTGGTGGTTTATACTTTTATTTTATGAGAGAAATTACTTTTACGTTTTTTTATTAGTATTATCTTAAAAAAAGTCCCTAAAGTAGTTATGGAAGATAATAAAGTACTAGTGTGTGTGTGTGTGTGTGTGTGTGTGTGTGTGTGTGTGTGTGTGTGTGTGACTCCATTACTAACAGTGTCATAATCATATCATAAGTTTTTTCTTCATATTTAAGTCTACTGCAGGTGTTACCATAATGATCCTTCAGTGTAATACCAAAGGACAGGTGTTTCCTTCATAGAACAACTGTATATAGTACACTTGTCTCAGCCTCCCACAACAGGTGTATAACTTAACTCTTATCTCTACCTATAGCAAGTGTTTTAATAATTCTCTCTCTCTCTCTCTCTCTCTCTCTCTCTCTCTCTCTCTCTCTCTCTCTCTCTCTCTCTCTCTCAACACACCTTCAGCATATCTCTCATTCTCTCACAGCCTCCCAGGAGAACAGATCTCTAACTGTACTCTCTTTCTCCCCCACAGCAGATGTACGGCTCACCCAGCACCCCCATCCTTGAGAACCCGGAATACCAAACTCGATGGTACTTCAAATATTTCCTCGGCAAATGTGAGTACTGTACAGAGGACTTGTGTATATTAGGTGGTTCACTGTCTATCTGTCTGTCTGTCTGTCTAATGGTGTCCAGCGTTACCCATTCCCCCCCTTCCCCCACTACCCTATTCTTCCTCCTATTCTCCTTGACCCATCCCTATTCCCTTCTCCTCCTCCTCCACCTAACACTACCCATCACCTGATCTCCTCTGTGGCCTACACACACACACACACACACACACACACACACACACACACACACACACACACACACACACACACACACACGAGCTTCCAAACCCCCTGAAAATTTCCCCAGAGACAGATGTAGAATTTATCGTTGTCAGAAAATGTGTAGTGAGAGTATTTAGTGTAGCATAGGAGGGAAATGATGGCATGGGGAGGGGTGAGGGAGGGGGGTGAGGGGGAGGGGGGAGGGAGGGGGGGTGAGGGAGAGGAGAGTCTGAACCCCTAACGAGAGTCGAGGGATTTAAACGAGGTTGTAATGGGGTAGAAGGTTCTTTTTTTTTAGGCTGAGAAGTGTATCAGTATTTTGATAGGTTCTGAAATAGGTTCGAATAGGCGGTGTTTTGAGTTCTGTTCGAGTATGGTTTATTACGTACAAAAGGTTCTGAAGAGGTTCTAATGGTTTAAGTTCTCTTTTGGGGGAATTATTTTTTTCCCATATAAAGTTCTTCTGAGAAAATTTCCTTTGGAGTTCTAACGAGATCGTGATTCGGTTCTGTTTTAATGAGAACTTTGTCAAAGAAAGATTCATAAACAGGTTCTTATTTCTTTTTAAAGCTTTTACACTGAGAAAAAAATACCAAGAGATTTTTTCTATAGTTGCTACGATAAACAAATAAACAGGAAACAACAAAGATAAAGAAATATTTTATAAAACTGAAAAAAAATAATTCAAAATATCAAAACTCGGTCACTGATTCGAACACTCGGTCACTGCTTCGAACACTCGGTCACTGATTCGAACACTCGGTCACTGATTCGAACACTCGGTCACTGCTTCGAACACTCGGTCACTGCTTCGAACACTCGGTCACTGCTTCGAACACTCGGTCACTGCTTCGAACACACGGATACTAGAGCTCTGGTGTCTTATACACTGTGAAAATCGAAGCTCATGATGATGCTGGTTTAGGTGTTTCGAATAATTTTGTCACTATTTATTTTGTTAACATATTCGGTTAATCGTAATTCAGCCAAATTTCATAAAGTTTCAAGAAGATTAATACAACATATTATCAAGTTTCACACACACACATTACATTATGATATTCCAGTCAAGTTTCACATATATCACTACAACAGATCATTCAAGTTTCACACACACAACACACACACACACACACACACACATTACATTATCGTTTTTCAATCAAGTTTGAGACAGACATTGAGGGCACACGGCTGAGGACCTAACACGCTGGACATATACACTTTACTTCAGTTTCAAACATAAAGAGTTCACTCCTCTGCCTTACTCTCAGGGGAAATCTGGTAGAATTCTTTCGATGTATGACTGAGATGTTGAAGAAGAAAACTGTTATTGGACCAGGAAGAGAGGAGAGGAGGATAAGGAAGAGGAGAGGAGAGGGGATGATAAAGATGAGGGAAGGGAAGAAATAAAGTAGAAGTTAGAGAATGACGAAGAGGAATTTAGGAATGGGAAGAAGAGGAGAGGGGAGAAGGAGAATAAATATGAGGGAAGCAAGAAATGGAGTAGAAATGAGAGGGTAAGGAAGGGGGAATTTAGGAACGAACGGGAAGAAACTAAACGTGAGAGAAAGTGGGAAATGGAAAGGAAAGGAAGGGAAAAGGGAAAGTGGAATGGAAGTGGGTATAGGGAGAAGGAAAGACAGACAAATCGAAGTACAGTAGAGAGGAAAAATTGATGGAAAGAGGAAAGGTGATCAGTAGTAGAGAGAGAGAGAGAGAGAGAGAGAGAGATAAGCAGGTCGATGGGATAAGTAGGTAGATGGTGAGTTAGGTATGACAATAGGTCGATAGGGAGGTAGGTGGATATGTAGGCAAGCAGATAGGTGGAAAGGTAGGGAAGCAGATTGGTAAATAAATTGGTAGACAGGTAGAAACAGGTAGATAGCCAGACAGGTTTACCAGTAGGTTGGACAGTAGATCGAGAGTACTGCCAGTAGGCTTAGTTATCGTCCACACACACACACACACACACAGGGACTCCCACTAATAGCTGATAGCCTAAAGAGCCATTAAACGTGTATTTCAACTGTTTAATGGTTAGTAATATTGTCAATAGAGAAACCAGAGGAGCTGGTGTACGTTCGTGTGTGGTCTACCGTGAGACCTAACCTAACCTAACCTAACCTAACCATTTTATATCTTCTCCTTAGTGATGGTAAATTTATATAACATTAGAAATAACAGATATATCCAGATTACGAAGACTAGAAAGACATTGGAGGAATTTATATAAAGGAATAACCAATTGCATGACATAAAACAGAAAAAAAATGTATTTACGAGAGAGGGAGAACAACAGTACAAACCCTCAAACCATTTTCTGGTGTTTTGTGTAATCAGGTCAATGAGTTTTTTCCTAGATTACGATATTAATTTATTTTTTTTTCAGTCATGGAGGGAAAATTTTTTATTTCATACGTGTTTAATCAGCTCTAAAAAAAATAGCTTATCAAACACAACAACATTATGGTCACCAGGTAATAGCTATTAGGTGCTGGATCAAGCTGGGGATTAAATAGCGTGTGTTCAGGAGTGCTGGGAAGGTTAGTTTAACATCAGTACTTTAGATTAAGGTTAGAACTGTGTGTTAAGATGAGGGCTATTACAGTCGATGGAACGTTCTAGTAATGGGTTTTGTTTTGATGTCGTAATAATAACAGTATATTAGGCTGAAGTTTGGTTGGGTTACAAGTGTGTGTGTGGGGGGGGGGGTTATGTTGTTGTTGTTGTTGTTGTTGTTTGTTGTTGATATTTTTGTTGTTGTGCTGACGAAGGAATGAGAGTACGAGACAGTGTTGCCAAAATTAGATCTTGTGAAGACTTAGACACCCCTGCTTATTTCACCCTCACGCTAACCTAACCTAATCTAACCTAAATCTAACCTAATCAAACCCCTTACGTAATTATGAGGTGAATTAAACTAGGGTGCCTAATCTTCACGTGATCACCAATATCGTACCCCCCAAAAATTATTACCAGTTATTGTTGATCATACACACACACACACACACACACACACACACACACACACACACACACACACACACACACACACATACACACACACACACACTTTACAACCTCCAATGGACCAACACTGAGGTACAGACAGATACAGACAGACAAATTCTCAACACACTGACAACTATACCACTACAGTTTCCCCAGACTTTTTTTTTCAGTCCAGTTGTCAAAGTTTGCGTCGCTGCGGCAAATTCTGCTTTAACTAGACCAAATTTGTAACATCCAGCTTAACTCTGTAACAATTAGTTGTATTTTGTCTTTTCCAGTCAGGTTTGTGTTCCGTAACTAAATTTGTCTCTTTGGTCGAGCTCGTAAGACCAAACAGGGGAATGTTGAAGGGAATATTTCTCGTAATATCTCAGAATATCTCGGAATATTTCTCTTAATATCTCGGTATATCTCGGAATATTTGTCGTAATATCTCGTAATATCTCAGAATATCTCGGAATATTTCTCGTAATATCTCGTTATATCTCGGAATATTTCTCACCTTAACTCGGATGCTCCCTGTTGTTGGGTGACTCTTGTCTTCACGGTCAGTAATTATTTAATCCCATCACGTCAAACTTTCAACTCTTAAATTATCTGATCACTGTAACGGTTAATTGGGATTTGTTAAGCGTAAAACACAATGAGTCTTTCCCCTGGTCAACTAAAACCTTTTATCTTACTAATTAAAAAATCAACATTTATTTTTTATTGGTCAGTTGATATGGTGACGATCTTCAATCTTGACACTTTTAGCAGATGATATTTTATGATACTAACCGATCCTAAGAGAGGAAACAATATCTTACATGAAGGAGAATAAATTTAACCATATATAAACTAATTAACATAAATCTTTAACAATAAAGACAATATTTAACAAAAGTGTTAGTTGAGTACATGGGGACAGTACTATCGTATTACAATATATGGGACCTGATTACAAGTATCATTTTGAACTACTGGTAATACGAGATAAAATAACAAGTGGCTCATAAATATTTAATCCAATATTAACAAGTGAACACTATTTAGTGTTAGTCGTTTTGGTGTTGTTTTTTTTAAGAATTATTTTGTTCAGGGATTAAATTTTTCGGAAATAAACTGACCTATTGAATGCCCCGCCTACGACGACCTGCCGAGCCAATGACGTGAAAGGTGCGCGCGCTCACTCCTGTTTACCTGTGGCAGTGTATGAGGGCCACAGAAACAGCTGACAACAGTACTCCATGCCCTGGGTTACCTCACAGTGTGTTGTACAGTAGATTCCAGCCACAAGTGAGATGGTGTGGTCAACAAGAGCTACAGAGTGTTGTGGTGTACAGTCAACTACTAAAGTCCGTCCACCTCCCCCCCTGAACCCCGAAAGAGATTCAGACTCACGAATCTGAAGCATTTGTGGACTATATGTATCAATCTACTGCTTCGGGCTCACGAGTCTGAATCTCTCGGTGGTTCGTGGTTCAGGAGGAGAGACGAACGGACTTCAGTAGTTGACTGTGTGTGGTGTTGATGGCCTGTGTGGAGATCTACTGAAGGTTGGTGTTTGTTTACATCCTTTCTGACGATGAGAAGTGCCTCTATTAGTGCTTCTCCTCGACCACACACACACACACACACACACACACACAGCTCCAAGTGAACGATGTCAAAAGGAAGAAGTAGATTTATTTCAAGGTATTTTTTTTATTCGTGTAGTTTTGTCAATAATATGTATTTTCCTGGACTGTAACTCAATGCTGTACCGCTGCCTGTAACCAGTCTCTCCCTCATGGTCACTCCCTCGTATGGTACTAACGGCCCTCCACGCTTGCCTGGTCACTCACAATGCCTTCACAGCCAGTGGTCAGCTTGATGGTTGATCTTGTTCGTTAGTGACAGAGTTCATGTGGGTGTTCAGGCTTCTGCTGTACAGTTTGGTCTGCTGTTTTATGGACCATCTGATGTTATGACCTTATAGAGTAAATCTTATTGTACTCATTAATAAAAACATGATGGAACCATTTTGTCTGACGAACTGCATATCTCCATCAGGTACTATGACCATTCATCGCTATTTACTCCTCAGAACAAATTTATATAAGTTTATCACATCATTAAAGACAAATAAAGAAAATCTGGCGGTAAATACAAAAACAAATGGTAGAGCGGATCACCCTAGCAACCAGAGCGCTTGTCTGAGTTACCATGGTTGCTAAGGACAGATATCAGGAAGTGAGGGGGGGGGGGATGGACGCTGTCGAAAAGTAGTGATCCAGATATTTAATTTTTATCACATATTTTTGTTTTTGGTTTGTTTAAGAAGTTGGTTTTGTGGTGTGAGATAGATTTATAAAGCTACTTTTATTAACTTCAAAGATTATAAAGCTGCCATTATCAGTCATTCTTAAACCACACAGCCACCCCATATAGTTATTGAAAAACAGCTTTAAAAATAAAAAGGATTACAGTATCGCAAAAAAACTAATTACCTAGAAAGCCAAGATGAGTGACCGCAGCATCAATATGATTAAGAAAGGGAGATGAAAGCAAAGTCGAAGAGAGAGAGAGCTATAAAATATCGACAAAATGTTCACACACTGACAGCCTACAGTACAGTGAGGTATTGACTAACATCAAAGCGAGAAGGAGGAATAGGAAGAGGGAGAGGAGGATGAAGAGCGAGAGGAGAGAGGAGGAAGAAGAGGGAGAGGAGAATGAAGAGCGATAGGAGGAGGAAGGGATGATGATGGCGGTGGTGGTCCAGGTATCATAGGAATGACAGCCAGGCAGGTGAGAGAGAGAGAGAGGGGGGGAGGGAGAATGAATGACTTGTGTGTGTGTGTGTGTGTGTGTGTGTACCGTAAACTAGTACACATAATTAGTTTACCGTAAACTCGCATTATCAAGCAATGCACATATATAGTAAACAGTAAACCGTTGTATATACTTCAAAGTAAACTAGTATACAGTTTTTTCAGACCCCGTAAACTAAATTTACTAATATACACTTGTGTAAACTCACTCAGACTAACATCTAGGATACACACCCCTCCAAAAAAAAATATATATATATGTAAATGAAGACAAATGGATAACAGGGAGACGTAGGAGGAAATACAAAGAGAAATTCAGGTGAGGAGACTATTACATTACATCAAGATGGCAGACACAGTGTGTGTGTGTGTGTGTGTGTGTGTGTGTATGTGTGTGTTTCTGTTCTGTCTGTTTCTCTGTCTGTCTGTCTCACACACAAAACACACCACTATCATTTACTACAGAAGTCACTACCTGTATTTATTAATTAACCTAATCAACATCCCTTCCACCTTACGTTAATTCGTTAAAACTACCCTACCATATTTTTAACCCCTTCCCCTCCCTTCACTTCCCTCCCCTTCACCTCCCTCCCTTCCTTCACCCCCTCCCCTTCACCTCCCCCTCCCTTCACTTCCCCTCCCCCTCCCTTCACCTCCCTCCCCTTCACCTCCCCCCTCCTTCACTTCCCCCTCCCCTTCACTTCCCCCTCCCCTGTTATAACTGAACATGGAATAAGTTGGTATAACAAATGGACAAATATCATATTCACAATTAATACATAGATATAACTCTACAGTGTTCGTTATATAGGCCGTGAACAGTTCCCCTTTATCATTGTCATACCAATTTGGAAGCTCTGTTGAACTTTGTAAAATGTACAGTAGCAGTTTTTTCCGAGGGGGTGGGGGGGGTTGCTAGGGGTGGTGCGTGATTTTTTTTATGCAGTTGTTTCATGATGTATGTATGTATGTATGTATGTATGCATGTATGAATGTATGTATGTATGTATGTATGTATGTATGTATGTATGTATGTATGTATGTATGTATGTATGTATGTATGTATGTATGCATGTATGAATGTAATATGATATGGCATTGTCTTTTGATATGAGCTCTTATACAGTAACACCGTCACCTAACCTACCCATATAAAAGTATCATATGAAGATTAGCCCCCCAGTTTATTTTACTTACTAAGTAACCAGTATAACGCTAACCTAACCTAACCTAACCTAACTTAACCTAACCTAACCTAACCTAACCTAACCTAACCTAACCTAACCTAACCTAACCGAACCTAACCTAACCTAACCTCCAAATAATTTAAGGGTGTTTAATCATCAGGTGAACTAAGCATTATGACCTTATCGTCTTATTCTCCTAAATACAATATTTTCTTCGTTCGTTTTGATCCTCGTTCAGGACTCGTGAGCGAAGTGTCTCGTTAATGTTCGTTCAATCTCGTTTAGTGTGTGTGTGTTTGTCTGTCATTATCGGCTCTTATTCTCTGTCATTTGGTTCTCTGTCTTAGTTTGTTTGACTTAGTACGCAGTTGAAAGGGAGAGAGAGAGAGAGAGAGAGAGAGAGTACTGTAGTCTCTAAGTAAAGAATCACTGTAAAGTATATTAAACCGTACTAAAAAAAAATAAACATTGGTTTTGTGGGAAGAATATGACATACTGGTGGAGTTATGGGCCATTTTATTGCCTACAAAAGTGAGTGAGAAGGAGTGGAAGAAATATTTTTTTTTTGTAGTTTAGATAATTTTGACGAGTAAGTGAAATGTATGGTTAGTGGAAGGCTTGATACTGTCTGCCAGGTGATTATGTGATTGTCCAATGGTATGGTGATTGTTATTGTTATTAATAGTAGTATAGGAGTTATTATTATTAGTAGTAGTATAAGTATTAGTAGTAGTTTCATTATTATTATTGTTGTTGTTGTTAGTTTTTGTTTCTTTTAGTTTCATCATCATCATCATATTATTATTATCATTATCATTATTATTATTATTACTCATTTATAATCAACATAATCATAATACACCTGTTTATCATATTACAACACCTTGGCACTAATCACTCTCTCTCTCTCCCCATCAGTACATCAGAACTACGTGGGATCTGACAGTGAAAAGGCGCCGTTCTTCCTCTCCGTGGTGTTGACAGACGCCAACAACCAATGTGTTCCTCAGTACCGAGCGATCTTATGGCGTAAAACGGTGAGTGTGTTTCTGTCTCGAGTTACTGTGTGGCTGTGTTGATGAGGGGAGGGGAGCGGGGGGAGAGGGGAGGAAGTGAGGGAAGGTAGAAGAATGGGAGAGGAGAGGAGAGGAGAGATGATATAGAAGGAGAAAGGAAAATAAGGACAGCTGGGAGGATAAATGAGAGAGGAGGAGAGAGAAAAGGTAGTAGGAGAGGGAAAATAATTAGAAGAGAATTGGGATGGAACGGAGGGAGGAAAGAAAGATAATTATGTTGAACAAAAAACATGATTTCAAATTACTGTAAGAAGATCAGCTCCCGTGTGTGTGTGTGTGTGTGTGTGTGTGTGTGTGTGTGTGTGTGTGTGTGTGTGTGTGTGTGTGTCTTGGCCCTATTGATCTCAACAAACACTCTCCCAACATACCCCTCCCTCTCTACATCCACTCGTCCTCATCCTTCAAGATTCATCCTCCCAAATCCACACACTCCCTGACACCCTCCCTCCCTGACTCTCTCCCTGACATCCTCACCCAGACCTACAACCCGCACGCCCACCCGCCCGCATCTTGTGTGTGTGAGTTAACGGCTGTCTGGCTTCAACGCCTCGAGGAATGCAATTTAGGAGTGTGTCCCCTGTGAAGCTCTGTACACTGTTACCTGAGCGTGGACTGTCTGTTCCTCTGTTTCCTTGCTGTCTCCTCACCTCCCTCCCCTCCTGTTTTGTTCCTTTGTCCTTAGCTTTCTGTTTATCTTTCTATTTCTTTATCTCCTTTTGCGCTCATAGATGTTGTATGATGATATTAGCTCTCTCACTTTTATTTCTAGGGTATTGTTGATTAATCTCTTTTCTTTCAATCTCTATCTCTTCTATTTCATTATCATCCTCTTCTTTCTTTCTTCTCTCTCTCACCCGGGAACGCTCATCTGGTAGGCGACCCAAAGCGAGAATTACAGAAACAAATATTTACAAACGCTGCTGAAGAGAGAGAGAGAGAGAGAGAGAGAGAGAGAGAGAGAGAGAAGAGAAAAAAAAAAAAAAAAAACTCTATCGTCCATTTATCATCCCGTAGAAAATGTTCAATGTTTACACAACTTTTAACTCTTAATAAAATGTTCACAAGTGTTCACCAAGATTATTCTGTGAACTTGTTGATGGTGGTGTCAGTGTTGGTGTGACTCCGCTAACCCGTATCTCTGAGTGTGTTTGGGAGATAGAAATGTTGAAGGTAAGAATTTTATAGAGATATTTCCCCGATTATGGAAGGTTAGGTTGAGTATGTGGTAGAATATTTATTTAAATTTCTTTCGTTTTAAACTGAAGAGAGAATAAGAGTGTTTTCTCACCACTAACACCTCCACCCACTCACTCCACCTTCACCACCACTACACCACCACTACCTCACCACCACTACCACCACCACCACCAACCACTCACCACCACCACCACCACCCACCACCACCACTAACCACCACCATCACCACCACCACCACCACCACCAGTAATTAGCACCACCACCACCACCACCACCACCACCACCACCACCACCACCAGTATTAGCACCAGGTTGATACTGTTTATCTGTCCACAGTGAATTAGATGAATAACTAAACAAGAATCGTGTACATCCAGGCTTTATTGAAAGGTCTCTGTGTTTACAAGAGTACTGAATTTAGATTCTACACAATGAATAACATTATTAACATCACAAGAACAATGAATATTTGAGGATAGTGGTATACAAGGACAATGTATAACCCGGCTTGGTGGTGGTAGTGGTGGTGGTGGTAGTAGTGGTGGTGGTGGTGGTGGTGGTGGTGCTGGTGGGTGATGGTGTAGTGGTGGTCATAGTAGTAGTAGTAATGGTGGTGGTGGTTATAGTAGTAGTAGTAATAGTAGTAGTGGCAGTTATGTATTAGGATACTTATTATATAGGTAATAAAATGGCGGCGAAGGTGTGGCTATCGGGGGAGGCTGGAGGCCACGTTATTGAAAGAGTAGAGGCAGTAGAAGCAGTAGTAGTAGTAGTAGTAGTAGTAGGAGAAATGGTGCAGTTCTCTCAGTAATGTCATGCATCTCTCTCTCTCTCTCTCTCTCTCTCTCTCTCCTCTGTAAACCCATTGTTGAATAAGCGGTGGACGACGTGTGTTTTCGTTGAACGTAAATTTATGGAACGTTTCATCTCACCTCCGGGATCTGGCCAGGCTTTGCAATTCATATTTCATATATTTGCATATTGTTTCAATTTTCCCCACCCCCCCCCAGTCTAGTGTCCCGACATATCTGTGGTTTTGACAAGCCTTTGTACAATTGCCACAGGAAAATTAATAGTTACTTTTAGCCCATGTATATATATATATATATTTTTTTTATACCTTATCAAAACGAAGATTATAGAAAAAGTTTGCCGTGCTCTTGATAGCCTCTGACTGCTATGAAAGGGAAAAAAATTGTGTCCATTATTTTTTCAATATCGCCTCTATTTTGCTGAGGTGTAAAATATTCTCTAGGCGAAGCTGCAACACACGCAAAAAAAACGGAAAAAATATTACACATCTTTATTAGACTTTCATTTCAGTGAATCCGTGTATTTTGTGGGTTTTTAGCAGTTTTTGTGGTTGAAGAGGTGAATTGTATAGAAGACAGACAGACAGGTAGACAGACAGACAGGTAGACAGACAGACAGGTAGACAGACAGACAGGTAGACAGACAGACAGGTAGACAGACAGACAGTAGACAGACAGACAGACAGACAGACAGACAGTAGACAGACAGACAGGTAGACAGACAGACAGGTAGACAGACAGACAGACAGGTAGACAGACAGACAGGTAGACAGACAGACAGGTAGACAGACAGACAGGTAGACAGACAGACAGGGAGACAGACAGACAGGTAGACAGACAGACAAGTAGACAGACAGACAGGAGACAGACAGACAGGTAGAAGACAGACAGGTAGACAGACAGACAGGTAGACAGACAGACAAGACAGACAGACAGGTAGACAGACAGACAGACAGGTAGACAGACAGACAGGTAGACAGACAGACAGGTAGACAGACAGACAGGTAGACAGACAGACAGGTAGACAGACAGACAGGTAGACAGACAGACAGGTAGACAGACAGACAGGGTAGACAGACAGCCAGACAGACAGACAATTCTCCGTCATTATTTTTCATTCATAAAGATGCCATAACAAGTGGCAGATGAGAGGGAGAGGGGGAGGAGAGGGAGTGGGGGGAGTGAGAGGGATGTTGGGAGTGAGAAGGAGGGGGAGTGAGAAGGATGTTGGGGAGGAGAGGGAGTGAGAGGGAGGTGGGGGAAACGTTTTGGAATGAGAGGGACTGAGGAAAGTGAGGGAAACTAAAAAAAATAAGTGGAAATGTGGAAAGTGGGAGGGGGTAGAGGGGGGGGTGAGGGGGGGTGAGAGAGGGGGTGAGAGAGATATCAGTGAGAGATAGGAGACTGTGAGAGAGACCCCATGTGTGTGTGTGGGTGTTTCATAAGCATAATACACCCCACAAAGACCAGAGGTATTAAACCTTCCCTGTTGCTTTTTATTTATGTCCCAATGTGTTAAAAAATTAAAACCCTGTTACATATATATATTCAATATGTATAAGTGTATATGTATATAATCTATACTGATTTACATAGTTTCTAATTTAATACATTTACCTTAATAACGCTAAAATCTATACGTGTCATTTTTTTTTTATGAGAATTTGTTGGGTTATTTTTATGAGAATTTGTAAATGTCGGTGTGGACGGTGTGTTTGTCCGTAAAACACGTACCTATTTGTTGTTTAAAAGACTGACATCATCGTTGACTTCACAGGCTGATGTGTTTTACTTGGGTGTGTAGAGAGGCCCTCACTCCAACCTAACCCAACTGTGCCCTTAGTTTTAATAGGCCCTTAGTCTTAATGGGCCCTTAGTCCTAATGGAGCCCCGTCAGATTGAGCCACAGTCTTAACGGATAGATTGAATTAGGTGTAGTTAGTAAGATTATTTGGGGATCCGTTAGGGTTTGGGACCCATTAGGACTAGGGGCCCATTAGGACTAGGGGCCCATTAGGACTAGGGGCCCATTAGGACTAGGGGCCCATTAGCACTAAGGGCCCATTAGGACTTGGGGCCCAGTGGATCTGTAATTCTTCCCATCCATCGTGTTCAGGTTATTACTACAGAACAACAATGATCGGAGTTGTTAAGTAGAGAAAGTTTGAGTTGAATCACCTGATTATCTTGTCTAATTACTTCTTGTGAGTTATAAGTCGATTATAGACAGTATAGGAGTGTTATATATCATTATACCTTATACTTAAGTCTTATGGTATTATAGGGAGTGGTAATTATCGTTCTCCAGGTGCCTTCATTACCTGAGGATTTACCTGCAAGTGCCTCCGCCTCAGTCATTCATGTGGCCTCTGATTCGATGTATTGACCTGGGGATTGCAAGACTTCACCTCAAGTAGTCGTGTTTATCTCTCTCTCTCTCTCTCTCTCTCTCTCTCTCTCTCTCTCTCTCATATTTGCATCAACTTCAACCAACCGAGAGTTTTATATCTTAATTTTTATTTAATGTTGTTTGAATAGTATAATTATAAACTTTGTTACTCGCTTAAAGACCTTTGTTGTTGAGGCACAGTAAATAACATTATCACAACTACTAGTGACGTGAATTGCTTAGACATCACCTCAAACAGTCAAACGACCTCCCATTCAAACTCTGGCAGGAAATACAATACAATGTCTCCCACTCAAGCCCCCCCCCCCTCCCCCTTCAAGAGCTGACAGTAACTTCAAAACACAACAGAAAACGACATCAAGTGATCTTCCTCTCAGTCAGTCATTCAGCCTTTCGTTCAAACACTGACAGACACTGACAGATGTGACAAAACGTCTCTGTAAGCAGTCATGCGTGTTCCTGTTCATGTAATAGCTGTCAGACAAGTCCCTTTCAAGCAGGTGACAGGCAGATAACACCCCCTCCCCCCTCAAGCACTGTCA